AGTTCAAAACCTTGATGACTAAGAATAAAGATACTCCTTCACTCCATTAATCTAATTCTGTACAAACGAGGAAAACATGAAACAGAACAAGAGTCCTTGGACCCCAGAGAAAGGAAATAAAAACATATTTCCTGTATATTGAGTTTCCATTCAGATAAGGTTTACTCAAGAACCAAAATTTTCACTCTCTTATTATCTGCAACTATTGGAAATTCTTGTAGACGCATGGAGATTTGGTTGAAGGTAGAATACTGCATGGGAACTCACCTACTGAGCTTATTGAACACTTCACAGAAACCATTGGGAGACCTCAAAAACTTCCCGATTGGATAATATCAGGTGCTGTCGTGGGATTGCAAGGTGGTACTGAAACAGTACGTCATATGTGGAAGGAGCTGCAGGCTCAAGAAACTCCAGTATCGGCATTTTGGTTGCAGGTTGAACAATAACCTATAAGTTAATATAGAAATGGAATTATTTCATTAAGATTTCTTTAATATACTTGAACCTAGAATATATGTATTTACTATATGTCATTTTACATTCTATTTTTACTTTGAAGTTGGGGGATGACATATGATCATGAATACTGGAAATGATTAATGGATCATGGGTAAAAATTTCATCCTATGCTCATTACGCAGGACTGGGTAGGGCAGAGGAAGACAGTTATTGGATCACAACTTTGGTGGAACTGGGAAGTGGATTCAAATAGGTACTCAGGATGGCGGCAATTAGTCAAAGATCTAGGTGCACGGGATATTAAAGTGATGACATATTGTAATCCTTGTTTAGCTCTGGTATGCAACTCTACCATTAGCAATTATAAATAATATCAGGTATAATATGTCTGATGACAGTCCTCCAACTCATAAATGCAGATGGACGATAAGCCTAATGCAAAAAGAAACCTATTTGAGGAGGCGACAAAGTTAGACATCTTAGTGAAGGAGAAAAATGGAGACCCATATATGGTTCCTAATACAGCTTTTGATGTTGGAATGCTGGATCTGACCCATCCAAAGACAGAAAGTTGGTTCAAACAGATTTTGCAAGAAATGGTGGATGATGGAGTCCGGGGATGGATGGCTGATTTCGGTGAAGGCCTGCCAGTTGATGCCTGCCTTTATTCAGGTTGAAGTCAAACTTATGTTGTCACCTCACTTCAGTCTCTAGGTTAAAAAGAAAAATAGAAAAACTAAAAAATAATTCAATTACATATCACAACTTTTTTTCCTCTTCATAAATTTCCCCTGTTTGCTTCCCATAGTAATGTGTACAATTGTTACATCTTCTTGAGAAAAATGCAACTATTACATACTTATAACCGAACCTATAGTCCAAACATTCAAATCCATTGTGTAACCAAGTTGATTTACAATTTCATAGGTGAAGATCCAATTACGGCCCATAATAGATACCCAGAGCTATGGGCAAAAATAAACAGGGAATTTGTAGAAGAATGGAAAAGTAGTCTCGTGGGTAAGGAGAAGGAAGATCCAGAAGACGGCCTGGTATTCTTCATGAGGGCTGGTTTCAGGAATAGTCCAAAATGGGCGACCCTATTTTGGGAAGGTGATCAAATGGTAAGCTGGCAAGCTAATGATGGGATAAAGAGTGCAGTGGTAGGATTGCTCAGCAGTGGACTTTCAGGGTATGCTTTGAATCATAGTGATATTGGAGGCTACTGTTCTGTGAACTTACCATTTTTTAAGTATCAAAGGAGCGAAGAACTACTCTTGCGGTGGATGGAGCTGAATGCATTCTCCGTTGTCTTCCGGACACATGAAGTAAGTCGAAAGATTGCCCTGTAAAATGTATAAAAAAAAAATTAAACATCTATTCTAATATCACCATGCAAGGAGCTCGTTTCAGTGCATATTGTATATGTTGTTGCTCAAAGGGTAAAGTGGGAATTCAACTTCAAATCTAATCGTACTTAACAAATAAATAGGCATCTTATCATCATTGTTCATAGAAGTACCTCTGCTTTTTTAATTTTATTATTCTTCGCTTTTTAGTGCCATGCGATTTCACAATTGTTTGCTAATTTCTGACATTTCAATCAGGGAAACAAACCAACTAGCAACAGCCAGTTCTACTCCAACCACAGAACATTATCGCATTTCGCACGCTTTGCCAAGATATACAAAGCTTGGAAGTTTTACAGGATCCAACTAGTTAAGGTAATTTCAGTGTTGGTGGTAAAAACTTGAAGCAATTGGAACTGAAATCTAACCATCTCCGTTAATGTTTATTGTACAGGAAGCCTCTGAAAAGGGACTACCTGTTTGTCGCCATCTATTCCTCCACTATCCAGAAGATGAATACGTGCATACATTAACATATCAGCAATTTCTAGTAGGCACAGAGATCCTAGTAGTGCCTGTTCTAGATAAAGGCAAGGAAGTGGTTAGGGCTTATTTTCCAAAAGGAGAAAACTATTCATGGAAGCATGTTTGGACAGGAAAACTATATTCTAAACCAGGTTCTGAGGCTTGGGTGGAAGCTCCAATTGGATACCCAGCCATTTTTGTCAAAGACTCGTCTAAAATTGGAGACACCTTTCTGAAAAACCTCAAAGAATACAATGTCCTATAAAGAAGTTACAACCGAAATGGATGCTGTAGAATTGTTTAGGTTTGTTAACAAAGAGATGTACAGTCTCTACATATCTCATATTCTACCAGGCATTTGTTAATTTTTACGATGATAACCATCATCATACAAGTACATAAATCATTACAATTGCTTGAATTTCACTAAATTATTATCCTGTTCTATTTGAACATTAATCACTTCTCCAAAAACTAATACGATACGAAAAAAATAACATTATGAAGGGGGAAGGTGGGGGTCGATTGGTTTAGATAACAAAGATGACAATTGAAATAAAATCATGTTTCTTGACAAAATTTGTCCCATAATTTTTCATTTCCGATATTTAAGAAAAGCAATGCAAAAATAAATAAGGCCTGGCCCCTTCAACCAATTGCAATAGTTATGCATATTGATGAAGATTTTGTGCTAGCTATAGGTCCTAAATTTGACGGTCAATCTCTTAACATCAGCAGCCGATTTTCAAACACTTGCGTTGTTCTACTGAGTGAAACCTTAGATAAAAAGTTTTCAAAAATGTTAGATGTGACTTTAATTGTGTTCAAATTAAAAAAGGCAAACATCAATTTCAGATATTTGTCCAACTCTCAGGCAACAAATGCTCAAGCTTCGGCAGGAAAAGAAAGAAAAGAGAATAGGATTGGGAAATTTGGGAAAGAAATTTCACTTAGGTTCAACATCAAACAAATCAATATCTATATACTAAACTTACCAAATAAATTAAATAACCCCATGGAAAATTTCTTGACTTGAGAATTAATAATTATTCCAAGAAAATACAGATATTTCCTGTGTGATCTCCAACATTAGGAACCTAATTTTCTTCACAAAAATGTATCTCCATGCACAAAAAACCAGTTTCATACGCCAATAATAGTACAGAACAATCATATATATTCGAATAATGCACACAATCATATGCCAATGGAGTTTACTTCATGTGAATAATAAACAGCCCAGTAATAATCAATCCCTAGGAATGAAAATCCTAAAACTATACTGTATTAGAAACTTCCAAATACAATTCCAACACCGTTTAAAAATGAAAAAAAGCAAATAGCAAATGAGTAAATGAGTAAATATGCTGAGATAATCATATCCTTCAAACACAAAGGACTGCAGTATAATTATTTTAAAAGAACTAACCTTGAAGCAGAGATAATAATCCATAGAAAACAAAATCTGATACTTATTTGGTAACGCAGGATTGCTGTTAAGAGTTCCAAGTTTAACGGATGCGAATATTTCTGTGGGATATTCCATCGACTCTCTCTCTCAACGTGACTATTGCGGGTAATTGGCGCATTTAGTCCGCAACGTTGTTCTTCCTGTGCAAAATGGTCCTCTAACGTTTTATTTATGGTGCTGAGGTCCCTAACCTATCACTTTCCTGCACAATCAGTCTTTTTGGATGGATTCCATCCAATTCAGAACAAGTACCAGGTAAATAATTTTGCTACTATTTTGGTTAATGTAGAGGATATTTGAATAAGAACGTGTTCGTTTAGAGGTCAACATCTATCGAATTTTCTCATACATATTTGCAATATCGTCTTTAATTAAATAGCAAAGACCCGCTAAAGTAATTGCACTACTATGATAAAGATGCCTATCTCAGAACATACTCTCCTACCATTGCTCCACTTATAGGTCAATAGCTCTTGCCAAACACCGTATAACATCCTTGGAATAAGCTTGGCTTACAGATTCAACCTTACAGGCTCCTTACAGGGTAATTTAAAAATGTCTCTTGATGGCCCACTTGTTGGTAATAAAAAAAATAAGAAAAAACATAATGGAGGGAAATGAGATGCATCCCACGTGAATACACTTTAATTCCCCTCAAAATAGCAAACGGCTGCTCGTGGTTTTCCTTCCAAGCTTGAAATCCTGCAGAACTTCCCTGCTCCACTACCGTTCGACCAGCAAAAATATTTTCCACCTCCGGCAGATTTCGACGTGAGCTGAACGAGCGACAACAGTCTGTCATTGCGCCCATTTTCTCCACCTCGAACGAGCGGCGTAAGCTGAAAGAGAAATCCACAAATTGGGGACAGTTGTCGGAATATCTTCTCCTCCTCGAACTCTCTCTCACATCACACATGAGCTAAATTTTCGGCAGCGATTCGAAATGCCCAAAACCCTCCTGCCATTTGCCCTTTTTCCACACAAGTCGTGACTTATTCGTGAGTGCACTATTGTCTGTCTTTGTGTCTGCCATTTGCCCGTTTTCATATGACAATATTATTGATATTCTCGTTAAGTATTGGCAATGTGAATAAATTTTGTGATAAATTTGTTGTAATATAAATATGTTATTACTTGGCAGCAATGTGAATAATTTTCGTGATGAATTTGTTGTAATATAAATATGTTATTACTTGGCAGCAATGTGTAGTGGGTGAATATGTATATAGACACTGAATTTATTTTGATATGTTTATTGTAGTATATTTGATTTATGTGATGTAACGTCACTAGTTATATTATTGTAGAAAGTAAATTATGGAAGACGTGGTCGATAATTCTTTGGCAGATTCTGAAAATGAGAATGCTGTTAAAAAAACGAATTTAGTGGAAGAAGAAGGTTTAGGAGATGGGGACTCGATTGTGCCGGAGGTGGGTATGCAGTTCAACGATGAAAAAGAAATGTTTGAGTTCTACAAAAGATATGCCCACGATGTAGGTTTTCCCATTCAGAAGAGGAATTCAAAAAAAGGAGACGATGGACTTTTAAAATATGTGATATTTACATGTAGTCGTAAAGGTCAAAGGAATACTAATGTCGTTGGTTCGTTGAAGCCTCAACCAATGACGCAGACGGATTGTAAAGCTAGGATCTCTACTTCTTCAAATGTTAATGGAACCTGGAGAATCAACACAGTCAATCTCAAGCACAATCATACATGCAGCCCTTCAAAGTCCTGGTTTTATCATTGCAATCGAAAATTGCCAGCACATGTGAAAAGGAAGCTTGAAGTGAATAACATGGCAGGAATACCGTTGCATAAAAGTTTCAACTCTGCAGTCGTTGAAGCTGGTGGATATGAGAATTTGCCTTGTGTGGAAAAGGACTGTCGAAATTATATTGAGCAAGTAAGAAGATTATGACTTGGAGAAGGTGATGCAGCCGTAATACAATCTTACTTTTCCAAAATGCAAGCATGATGCCCCAAATTTTATTTCAGTATCGATTTAGATGATGAGTCGCAACTGAAGAATGTATTTTGGGCTGATAATAGATACAAGCAGGCACGTAGGGAGTTCGGTGATGTTGTCTCCTTTCACACCACTTACCTGACTAATAAGTACGACATGCCTTTCGCTCCTTTTGTTAGAGTTAACCATCGCGGTCAATCTACATTGCTCGGTTGTGGTCTATTGTCGAACGAGGACACAGATACATTTGTTTGGGTATTTAAAACATGGCTTGAGTGTATGCATGGTCAAGCACCCCATGGAATCATTACAGACCAAGACAGGGCCATGCAAAATGCTATTCAGATCGTCTTTCCTAACACAAAGCATAGATGGTGTTTATGGCACATTTTGAAGAAATTGCCTGAGAAGTTTGGGTACAATGTTGACAAGGGAAACATATTTTCGACTATACATAGATTGGTGTATGATTCGCAAACTGGTACAGAATTTGAAAAAGGTTGGGGATTGATGATTGATGAGTATGAGTTGCATGATAATGACTGGTTGGCTGGACTGTATAACAACAGAGCTCATTAGGTTCCTTGCTTCTTAAAAACAACATTCTGGGTCGGTATGTCTACGACTCAGCAAATTGAAAGTATGAATGCCTTCTTCGATGGGTATGTACATTTGAAAACCTTGCTTAAGAAGTTCGTTGAATAATATGAACGAGCACTTATAAATAAGGTTGAGAAGGAGTACCAAGATGGTACCATGTGCAACAAATTATGAAATGAAAAAACAATTTTAGTTGGTGTACATAATGTCGAAGTTTCGGGAAGTGCAAGATGAGTTCACAGGAAAGGTGTATTGTGATCTCCTAGCTACCTTGGAGGGAAGTTTGGGGACCATGTATGAAATTTTAGAGGATGTGTTGATCGAACACATACGGAAGAAAAAAATTGGTTCGTCTCTTTTCGGAGGGATAATAGTGAAATTGTTTGTAGTTGCCACTTGTTCGAGTTTCGAGGGATAATATGCAGGCATGCAATCACAGTCTTGATCCGTAACAACGTGACATCAATGCCAGAAAAATATATACTACTAAGGTGGAGAAAAGATGTTACTCGAGCGCACACAAGAGTGGCAGTGAACTATGTTGGCTTAGTTACTACTCCTGCACAGTTGAGATACGACGATATGTTTCATGCTTTTTCGTAATTGGCGGATCTCACTGCAGATGACGAAGGTCGATCACGTGCAATAATGGACTGGATAAAATGCCAATATAAAGAGCTTACGCTGACCAAGTCGAGTAATGGAAGTAATGTTATGTTGCAGCATGCTATTCACTTACCCTCTCCGAACATTGATTCTCAAAAATCTGCATGCGAGAGTGTGAGGGATCCTATATTGGTGAAGAGAAAGGATGCACCTAAGAAACTTCGAATGAAAGGCCCGTTGGAGTAGAAGTCAAAGAAAAAAAGGTATTTTTGTTTGTTGGCATTGCAATAAAAAAGCACCACATTTTTGAATTCTCATTTAAGTTTGATATAAATGCAGGGAAATTCGACTTCAAACAAGGGGAACACATTGAGGGACATACCTACTAACATCTCGGAGGTTGCACTCGAAGTTCAAGTATCTCAACTAACCTATTCCCTACCGACCACATTCTCGTATTCACAAATGTTGATGGTTAGTATTTTCATTTCTCTATTGCAATGGATGTTTATGTTTTATTTACAATATTGCTGCATATAGGGTGATGCCAAAAATCATATGTTTACCCAACAATGCCTGCCTTCGAACGTTATGCCTCCATTGTCACGTGATATTATATTTCATTCGCAAGGTAAATAAATGTTCAAATATCATTATAATTCATTCTTGTATTATTTCATTACATGTTTTAATGTTCGTTGCATACAGCAGGTCATGGAATGCCCTACTACTATCCAAATTTACCAGAACAAGGTGGCAGTGGCTTGTGAAAAGGTTAAGCCTTCACCGTTGACTTTGCATATAGAAATGGGAAAATTTAACATGAATGACTTAATTGTTCCTTTTGCAGGGGTGGAAACATCATATGTAGTGGCTGAAGGGATCTCGACCAAGTTGTCGGAAGGATTGAGGGACCACTTTGATAGGATAATCATGGCTGGACCGTAGGCTGAACATTTTGCTTGGCAAGCACTTTTTATTTTGGGACAGTTGGAAATCGTTGTAATTTTTTGATATAGGGCCATGGATTGAGGTCAAAAGTGTCCATAGTAATGTTTATAACTTTTCTGGGAGTGTTAATGGGTACAAATGTTGAATGCATTGTTGATTCTTTTGTTGGTGTGTGTTTTGTTTGCATTTATGATAGAGGGAACACTTATAATTTAATGTTTCAAACAAGTATATTACTTCATGTTTCTTGGTTTTGAATTAGCACTAATTAGAATGGATTTAGATGTCCAAACCTATTTATCTTCCTCACTAGTAACATTTGTTGCAAAGAATTGTTCCATTTGACAGGTAATTAACCTACTAAAACTAGCAATGCTTGTGAGTTAAATTAGAACTCTTTTTGTTCTGTACTAGGAACAAGGTTGTGTACAAGTGTGTTATGTGAGTAATGAGACGTGAAATGTAAGAGCCGTTGAATTATATTAGATACACAAACACAAGGAAAACGTTAGTTGGTCATAATTCAATTGGATGCGTGATTTGTTGATGATACCTTCACTAGTGGTATCAAAATGAGTCGGACAGTCCATTTACTGTTTGAATACACAACAAAATATATACAAATTAAAGGATAGAAACACTGAATTATCTAGGCTAGAGCACTCAACATACAAGTAGGCATTTTTATTTATCTGGGCTAGAGCTACAATTGCTAACCAAACTACAGCAATGTAACAAAGTTACAACCTGCAGAGTGGTCGACATACAAGTAGACTGGGTCACATACTTCACAAGTTGCAAAACACTTAACATAATTGTGACCTATTATCACGAAGCAAATATAAAGTTCCCTCTTAGTATTCGTACGTCGACAAACCTAACTCAAATTAACCCATTCGAACAATGACACCAATTAAGCCAGCCTCTTCCCTTTTACATTCCCAGATGCACCACATTTTTCTTTACAGATTGTCACGTTCATAGCGATATAGAGCTCTTCGTCATCATTTAACCACACTTGAGATTGGAACATGCGGGTCATATCTTCAATTGCTTCCATTACCATTGGGGTAGTCGAGGTAGCACTAACGCTACTACATTCACCTCGTGCTTGACCTACTTCGTACCATACCCAAAATCCACATTTTTTACTGCAACACTTGAATAATCTACCTTTGTTAGAAGTCTCTTTCTCCACCTCAAAGCACTTCTGATATCCATGCTCACACAATGAGCAGCGCACTTTGATTGGGCATTGGGTAAATAAGTGTGCCTTGCTTCTACAACTAAGCACACACCTGAATTCTTCCCTGGCATTCTAGTATGCAAATCAACGTGCCATCACCAATCAATCAGCAATATGAATTACATAAATAATGTATAAATTACAAAAAACGCACAACCACCACATAACAATTGGCCCAACCTGCTTGGACATTATAAACAACTACATGCAGGGAATATCGGATTTTTTGCTTGACACTTGCTCTTCCTATTTGAAGAAAATAAATTTAGATTCCATAACAGGACTCCAATAAGTCTAGATTTTGTAGAACGTTATCCATCAGACGAGGAATGGCATGGTTACATTAACAATAACGACAGAGCACTGTTTAAGGTATTATGCATTCACATTTGTCCTTTCCTATTTTTGTTTGCTGTTTGTCTTTCATGCCAATCAATTAGCACTTTTTCAAAAAAAAAAAAAAAAAAAAAAAAACCATGTAAATGACAATAGGAAGATGAAATTAAACTACTACCTGAATGAGAGTAGATGGTCGTGGTCGTATTTTATTTTTGGTCACCGAACTCGTTCAGCAGCAAAGAGAGTTCAGGGGATCGTCAAGTTGTTCGATGCCTTTCAAGGACTGGGAAAGTGCTTGGGGATTATAAGAGAGAAACGATTCTTTTGCCTACAGATTGTGAGGAAAAACACAGTGATGGTGCTAAATTCGGCTTAATCGAGGTCATTCAACGCCGACTTCTAAGATGCACTCATTTGGGAGAAGATAACCTCATGACCACAAAACGTTGATGGGCTGGCGGAGATGGAGGCGAATCAGATGATGCTCACTTGTGGATGTGAAGTGAAGAGGCAAGAGATCGCGCTTGGGCAGGTGAGGTATAGGGTTTCAACTTGGGGATTATAGGGGAGAGAGTGAAAGACGAGGCTTAATAATTGACTGATTTTTCCCTGCTCATTTTTTCTTTCTTTTTTCTGAGAATTTAGTGACTTTCCACGCAAGCCTGTAAAACGCCTGTAGGATCACCCCTGTACACCAAGTGCGGTCAAACATCCTTTAGCCCTAGCATTGTAAACAAATGTTGGGGAGACCGAAGAAGGCTGGGATGAGAGGAACAAACAAACAAATGGTGTCATCAAGCAAACGCGAGAATGTCGTGAATATTGGAATTGTGGGAAACATGGAATCCATCCATAAGGACTGGTTATGCAAAGAAGTGATAGGGATGGGATTTCATCACCAAAAATGAACCATTAGGGCCCAATTAGACATGAGGGACAACATTTAGGGACTAAATGCGCCAATTACCTTGATTATTGCACATTTATTTGCACACCAAGTCCTTGTGTATTGGCTCAATTTCACTTTATGGATGATATGTTTTTTTTTCTTTGTATTGACACCTCATCTTTTGTTAGAAGTTTACCCATATTATAGTTGCATTAAAATGTTTCTAACATCTATTTATTATCATATTTATGTTAATTGCATTCTTTAATTTCCAATTTTTTCTTAGTCAGCACATCTTCTCTTTGATGACTGTTTGTATCCAAAAATTTTGTTAAGATAGTGTAAAAGAATTAATAGTGCCTCATTTCTAAATAAGCAAAAAAACAAATACAAAAGTACAACCAATATTTGCTTTATTATTTTAATAAAAACAAAATATGTTAATTAATGGAAGTGTGAGAATAAGTAAAAAATACAAGAACTTTTAATATAATTAAAACTTGTGTAAATATAACTTTTCCTTTTTTAATTAATGAGTTCCAGAACTGGTTATCAATTATTTGATTTAAAGATTTTAAAAATTGTTTCTAACAATAGAATCATTCTAAATCTTCTTGTTTAATTGCATGCATGATCGCAAATGCTAATATTTTAACAATGTCATCTAAACTGGTGTTCTAGTGGAATAAAGGGGGCATTTGGGATCCAAAACTCTCAAATCCTCCGACTTTTGGTATTATATAAATTTATTATAAATATGAAAATAAAAGTAATAAAAACAGAAGTTTAGCTGTTTACATAGAAGGTGGTTTTAGCCTACTATCTAAAAAAGTTCAAGCATAATTACTATTATTTATATTTTGTGACATAAAAGTGGTCAAGGAAATTATACATTATTCTAAACTTGAAGGTAAAGTTAGTTTGTGTAATTTTTAAAAAGATTTCTGA